GGACGGAGTTTCGCTCTTGTTACCCAGGCTGGAGTGCAATGGCGCGATCTCGGCTCACCGCAACCTCCGCCTCCTGGGTTCAGGCAATTCTCCTGCCTCAGCCTCCCAAGTAGCCGGGACTACAGGCGCCTGCCACCAGGCCCAGCCAATTTTCTTTTTGTATTTTTAGTAGAGAAAGGTTTCACTATGTTGGCCAGGCTGGTCTCAAACCCCTGACCTCATAATCCACCTGCCTTGGCCTCCCAAAGTGCTGGGATTACAGGCATGAGCCACCAAGCCCAGCTGAGCATGGAGTTCTTCAAACAAGTGCCTAAAGTTGGGACTTAAATATAGAAACATTAAGATCTGACATGTTTTAGGCTGGGTACAGTGGCTCATGCCTACGTACCCGGTCAGCACAGCAAGATCCCATCTCTACAAAATTAAAGACCTTAGCCAGGCGTGATGGCACACAACTGTAGTCCCAACTATTGGACAGCCTAAAACAGGAGGATCACTTAAACCCAGGAGTTCAAGGATGTAGTGAGCCATGCTCATGCCATTGAACTCCAGTCAAGGTCACAGTGCAAGACCCTGTCTTAAAAAAAAAAAAAAGAAAGAAAAAGAAAGAAAGAAAGAAAGAAAAGCAAATATAAATCTTACTGTGGCTTCAACCACTTCTTCCTCCTGCACTTTATTCTCCAGTTAGTGAGTAACTAGTGTGCTCAGTTACTAGAGCACACTAGACTCATAGACAATGATATTGCTCCTCTCCCCTAAATAAAAGGGGGTAGAGTTATGTATTGGGCTACGGAAATGAAAACAAGTAAAAACAGAGAAATGGACTAGTACAAAACCAGACACACAGACCAATGGAACAGAATAGAGAATTCAAAAGCAAAAACGCAAACCTACAACTATCTGAGCTTTAACAAATCTAACGAAAACAAGCAATGGAGAAAGGATTCTTTATACAATAAATGGTGCTGGAATAACAGCTAGTCATATGCAAAAGATTAAAACAGGACCCCTTCCTTACACCATATACAAAAATTAACTCAAGAGGGATTAAAGACTTAAATGTAAAACCCCAAGCTATAAAAACCCTGGATGACAACCTAGGCAACATCATTCAGGACATAGGCACAGACATAGGCAAAGATTTCATGAAGATGCCAAAAGCAACTGCAACAAAGCCAAAAACTGACAAATGGGATCTAATTAAAGAGCTTCTGAACAGTGAAAGAAACTATCATCAGAGTGAACAACCTACAGAATGAGAGAAAGTATTTGCAAGTATGCATCTGACAAAGGTCTAATATCCAGCACCTATAAGGAACTTAAATTTACAAGAAAAAAAGCAAAAAAACCCATTTAAAAAGTAGGTGAAAAGAAAAAATGCTTTTCCAAAAGAGCCATACATGTGGCCAACAATCATATGAAAAAAAGCTCAACATCACTGATCATTAGAGAAATGCAAATCAAAACCACAATGAGATATCATCTCACACCAGTCAGAATGGCTATTATTAAAAAGTAACAGATACTGGTGAGGTTGTGGAGAAAAACAAATGCTTATACACTGTTGGTAGAAGTGTAAATTAGTTCAACCATTGTGGAAGACAGTGTGCCTATTCTTCAAAGACCTAAAGACCAAAATACCATTAGACCGAGCAATGCCATTATATTCCATTATAAAGACACATGCACATGTATGTTCACTGCAACACTATTCACAATAGCAGAGACACAGAAGCAACCTAAATACCCATTAACAACAGATTGGGTAAAGAAAATGTGGGCCAGGTGCAGTGGCTCATGCCTGTAATCCCAGCACTTTGGGAGGCCGAGGCGGGTGGATCACAAGGTCAGGAGTTCGAGACCGGCCTGGCCAAGATTTTGAAACCCCATCTCTACTAAAAATATAAAAATTAGCTGGGCGCAGTGGCACGTGCCTATAATCCCAGCTACTCAGGAGGCTGAAGCAGGAGCATCGCTTGAACCTGGGAGGCAGAGGTTGCAGTGAGCCGAGATCGCACCACTGCACTGCACTCCAGCCTGGGTGACAGAGTGAGACTCCATCTCAAAAAAAAAAAAAAAAAAAATGTAGTACATATGTACAATGGAATACTAGGCAGCCATAAAAAAGAATGAACTCATGTCCTTTGCAGGAACATAGATGGAGCTGGAGGCCATTATACTTAGCAAACGAACACAGGAACAGGAAACCAAATACTGCATGTTCTCACATATAAGTGGGAACTATATGATGAAAACACATAGATGTGTAGAGGGGAATAACACACAGTAGGGCCTATTGGAGGGTGGGCAGGAGGAAGGAAGAGGAAGAAAAATACCTAATGGGTACTAAGCTTAAAATATCTGGGTGACAAAATAATCTGTACAACAAAACGCCTATGACACAAGTTTCCCTGTGTAACAAATCTGCTCATGTACCCCTGAACTTAAAATTAAAAAAAAAAAAAAAAACTCTATTTTTATAAGAGAAAAACAGAGATTAAAAGGGTAGCAGTGACTTTCAAAGGTACTGACAAGTACCAGGGACCTTAACCTTAATTTAGAACTAAGAAGTGATAAACTATCATTTCAGAGACTCTGATTTAGTGTCACGCTGCCTTTGTCACAGATGTTTTGTCTTGTTTTTTTAAAAAGAAGCTTTCAAAGGCTTTGTGTGAAATGTGAAATTTCTTTTTCTGAGACAAAAATAAAGGTTTCCTAACAGTACTGTTTTTGTTAAATAAGCAATGTTGCACAACTCGTATACCAAAATTTCACTGTGATGCAAGGGCATCTATCTGCCTTATCCACTGATGATTTCAAACCTTCTCTGCTAGTGCTCTGTAAACCTGGCTGTATAGAGGGGCTAAGGATGAAGTCAGGCTGTTTAAAGCAATGTTTTGTTGACTTTGATTTGATTACATCACAATGATCCCCAATTTGCCAATCACCAAGTCACTTTCTGCTTCACATACTTTTCTTCTTGTTGATCTTTGCCTCCAAAGCATCATTCACATTCAAGGCCCATTCGTTGTAAGATTCTGCTCGAAGTTTCAATGCATTCATCATAGGGTAGAGATCATCCAGTGTGTATCTATACCTGGAAATAATACCACCAGACTTAGCTTTGACATGTGTAGCTTTGGAGAAAACTAGATGTTTTAGACTTAACATTTCAGCCTTAGAACTGGGGTGTCATTGAGCTTTTTAGTAAGTATCAACTGTTTCCCATAGGGGCAAAAAAAAATCATTCCTCTTACTTACCGCAATTTATATTTATAAGGAGGACAGGAACACAATTCTTTTACATGATGCAGGCAAACAAGCAGGCCAGGTTTACAAGAACAGGAGATGGCAGACATGAAGCATGTAGTTTTGCATTTTACACACTGACGTTCATCATCTGGCAATAGCTCAAAATCCACTCTTTCTGAATCAATCACGCCCTAAAACAAAGTGTACTTTAGAGACCTCCAAAGGATAATATAATCCACCAGTCCAAGATGAGCATGCAGTAGTACTTGAGTTTCAAAAAAAAAAACACCTTACCAAAATAGGGATGCATGATTTAAAATGTGTGGCATACAAGGTAACAAATGACCTAGGAAATATAGGCAAGTTCATTTGTCTAGGGAGATCTCCTTTTTAGACAAGGCAAGTCCTTATTATGTTTGGCCATTTTGATCTCAGTATGAACATCACAGGACTCTAAAACTACTGAGGTTAGCTGTCTACTCTACTCCAAATTAGCCTTGTCCACATTTTGGTATAGGTAAGAGCAAAAGAAAGGAAGATGCTTCCTACTTCTGAGGAAATACGGAGAATCTATTAAAAGGACAAAAATGAAATGGAAGACGATGGGACAAGTGGAAAAGATTCATGCAGAAATTGCTGAGTTTGGGAAGATGCTGGAGTGGTCTCAGCCTTTTAAAGGAAATTATCTACAGGGATGTCATCACCTGAATAGTTAGAAAATTTGTGCAATAGGAAGAAAGACTAAAGTCATAATAAAACATTTCCTAACTAAAAGACTGACAGGAAAAATAAGGTCTTGAACCAGTAAATTTCAACATCATCTGTATCCATCTAGGGAACCCTACTTGGATATACCTTTTGTCATTCAAAGACCAAACTTTATCACCTTTTTTCCTTATCTAAAACTGGATCCTAATCCAGCCTTGAGAATGCCAGTCAGTTTATGAACCATTGGGCTTGTTTTATTCTTTTATCCTGTATTTTAACCTTTTAACTATTTCCCTTGGTCCATTATATGGACCAACAAAGATGAGGAAGGTAAAGAAAATGCTTATTTGTAGATTCTGGTTTTATTCTGGAATTGGTCATTAAAAAGGACTTCATGGGATGGAGAGATTTAAATTTTTGTTTAAAATAAGATTAAGAACCAATTCTATGGATTTTAGTTGAGAATGAATCGTGTACTTCATACCCAATTTTAATTTGTAAATTTCATATTGGGAAAAAAATTTAGTCCCAGAGTTCTAAAAATGAGCTACTATTTTTGATGTAAGACTTCGGTAAGTCACATAAATCCTCTGGGCACTGTTTTCCCCAACTGTAAAATATAAGGGGGGAAGGTAGGTGACCTGCTGTTAAACTATAATGGGCTGCAGAGAGCCAATATTCTGGGATTCTACCCAAAGAGGCACATTAAAAAAAAAAAAAAAAAAATTAGAACAACTACTTGCAGATATTGTTATTCCAAAAGAATCCATGAAAAAGCTAGTGGAAATTAAGTATTTTCTCAAAGGTCTCAGGAGACAAGGTCAATACACAAGTCAGTTGTCTCTTTAAATACTGGCAATAAACAATTAGAAATTCAAAGTTTTAAAAGTACAATTTATAACAGTGCCAAAAAACATGCAATATAAAATTATACTATGTTCAACAACTAGAACACTCAATTTTTTTTTGGGGGGGGGGATAGAGTCTAGCTCTGTCACCCAGGCTAGGGTGCAATGGCACGATCTTGGCTCATTGCAACCTCTGCATCCTAGGTTCAAGGGATTCTCCTGCCTCAGCCTCCTGAATAGCTGGGATTACAGGCACGTGCTGCCACACCCAGCTAATTTTTGTATTTTTAGTAGAGACAGGGTTTCACCACATTGGTTAGGATGGTCTCAATCTCTTGACCTTGTGATCTGCCCACCTTGGCCCCTCAAAGTGCTGGGATTATAGCCGTGAGCCACTACGTCCTGCCAACTCAATATTATTAAGATATCAATCATCCCCCAAACTATCCATAGTTTAATGCAGTCTCAATCAAAATCTCAACAGGAATTGATTTGGTAGAAATCAATAAGCTGATTCTAAAATTTACATTAAAAAAGTAAAAGAGACAAAACAATTTTTAAAAAGAACAAAGTTGGAAGACTCATACTACCTAATTTCAAGACTTCTTAAAAAGCTACAGCAATCAAGAACATTTGGTATTAGCAAGAGAATTAGATGCACAGATCAACAGAATACAACAGAGTCCAGAAATAGACCATACATATGGGGTGAATTGATTTTCAACAAAGGTGCCAAAGCAATTTGATGAAGAAAAGACAGTTTTTTGAAGAAAAAACTGGAAGAACTAGATATCCACATTCAAAAAAATTACCCTTGACTCATACTTTGAAAAACAAAAATTACTTGAAATAGATGAAAGACTTAAATGTAAAACATGGAACGACGAAATTCTAGATGACTTTGTAGGAGAAAATCTTTGTAACTTTGGATTAAGCAAGATTTCTTAAACAGGAAACCAAAAAAACATGATTCACACAAGAAAATAATTAACAAACTGGACTTCATCAAAATGAAAAACTTCTGCTTGCTGAAAGAACACTGGTAGGAGAATCAAAGACAAGCCACAGACTGGGAGAAAATAAAACCCCTATCTGATTAAAAAACAAACAAACTGGTATCCAGAATACATACAGAATTATTACAACAATCCAACTTTTTAAAAAATAAAGGGCAAGCCAGGTGTGGTGGCTCACGCCTGTAATCTCAGCACAATGGGATGAGTAGCTTGAACACAGGAGTTTGAGACCAGCCTGGGCAACACAGTGAGACCCTGTCTCTACAAAACA